AAAAAAAAAAAAAAAAAAAGAGAGACAAATATGAATCAAGGTCCGTAACTATCCCCCAACACACTGAAGAACAATCTGTTGCCCTCTCTGCAGGTAGTGTGGGTGGAGCTGAGCTCATGCATACTTAATCACATTGATAGGATGGCTGCTGTGCTCAATGGCCACGATGATGCCTCCGGAATCCAGGATGGTGTAATAGTGGGGTCCTTCCAGCATCCTCGCCCAGGAGTAACCCCCATCATCTGAGATGTACACATCCGGGATCATCACTGAGATGGCATCCCCTACACTCCCTGCAATACAATCCACCATCTCATCAGCACAAATCAGCACAAATGAAACAGACAGGATTTACTGCCAAGAGAATGATTTTTTTTTTTTTTTTAATTTTTAAAATTTATTTATTTTTCCCCCAAAGCCCCAGTAGATAGTTGTATGTCATAGCTGCACATCCTTCTAGTTGCTGTATGTGGGACGCGGCCTCAGCATGGGCGGAGAAGCGGTGCGTTGGTGCGCGCCCGGGGTCCGAACCTGGGCTGCCAGCATCGGAGCGCACGCACTTAACCGCTAAGCCATGGGGCCGGCCCAAGAGAATGATTTTGAATGAACTTATTCTGATTATTTCTCTTATCACGCCTCTTATAAAAGAAAAAAAAGGCCACTGAAAATTTGGGAAAGGGAGAAGCCTTGTTGCTCTCTCTGATGGAAGTCTATGAAAAACCCAAAGTACCACTATCATGTAAGAAATTCTACAAAGGATGGTAAAAGCCACATATGGTGGTTTTCTTACAGGGTTCAAGGCAGTGACTGAGTTTTAGTGTGCTAAGCTACTTCTTCCCGTGGAGGTGAGGGAGGGCTGCTTACCATGGGCAATGACTATGCCGACGGCATTAGGCTCAGAGAGTGGGGCCATTGGAACGTTTAGTTTCTGGGAAATGCTGTAGGAAGCGTGAATATGAAGGCTGCACTGTGAAAAGAAACCAAAGCTTAGATTAAAACCAAAGGTGCAATTTTTTACTCATCTCACAGAGCCTTCTAATAAAGCTCTGAACTTAACCCAGACCTCAGTGGGATACTCTTTTTTTTTTTTTTAATTGTGGAAAATACACACATCATAAAATTTACCATCTTAACCATTTTTAAGTGTACAGTTCAGTAGTGTTAATTATATTCACACTGTTGTGCAACCATCACCACCGTCCATCTCTGGAACTTCTTCATCCTGCAAAACTGAAACTCTGTACCCATTAAACAATAACTCCCCATTCCCCTCTCCCCCCGAGACCCTGGCAACCACCATTCTACTTTCTGTCTCTATGAATTTGACCACTCTAGGTACTTCATATAAGTGGAACCATACAACATTTGTCATTTTGTGTCTTGCTTATTTCACTTAGCATAATGTCCTTAAGATTCATCCATGTTGTAGCACATCAGAATTTTCTGCCTTTTTAAGTCTGAATATTATTCCATTGTATGTATGTACCATATTTTGTTTATCTATTCATGTGTCAACAGACACTTGGATTGCTTCCACCTTTTGGCTATTGTGAATAATGCTGCTATGAAAGTGGTGTGCAAATATCTCTTTGAGATCCTCCTTTCAATTCTTTTGGATATATACCCAGAAGTGGAATCGCTGGATCACATGGTAGTTCTATGTTTAAATTTCTTGAGGAACCACCATACTGTTTTCCACAGTGGCTGCACCATCAGTGCACCAGGGTTCCAATCTCTCCACAGCCTCACCAACACTTTCTATTTTGTTTTTTTTTTAATAGTAGCCATCCTAATGGGTGTGAGGTGATCTCTCGCTGTGGTTTTGATTTGCATTTCCCTAATTAGTGATGTCAAGCATCGTTTCATGTGCTTACCAGCCATTTGTATATTTTCTTTAAAGAAATGTCTATTCAAGTCCTTTGCCCATTTTTAATTTGGGTTATTTGTCTTTTTGTTGTTGAGTTATAGGCTCAGTGGGATATTCTTGATTCTGAAATGCATTAATACATTTGGGAGCAAATTATGCAATTATTTTCTCATGTTTAATCTGTCTTAGTTTATTTTATTCCTGTATTACATCAAAGCCTCTGATCAATATTTAAAGTATGATTCCACACAAATAAACTTGATGAATGCCTGACATATTTCAGATACTGTACAAGATGTGGTGGTGATTTGAAATAAGATTCAGTCTTGTCTTAAGAAATATTTCTCAGAAACTAGTTAGGGTATAAAGCAGAATGAAAGTTAGTGCTTTAAAAGACGTTCAAATTAAACCTCTTTAAAAGAGGTTAAAATGTTAATTTTACATCACGTATATTTTATCGCAATAAAAAAAGAGGTTCAAGCAAACTATTAATGAAATGAAGAGGAATGATTAGCTCTAACTGAAGATGGGCACTCAGGATGGTTAGGATTTCCACTGATCCTAATGAACCAGGGGTGGGGAAACAGGTATGACTTCCTCAGGAATACCCCAGGAATACCATGGGCAGGCCACTCAGGAAGACCCCAGGAAGACCGTGGGCAGGCCACAGACGCAGGGGCACATACAGGGTGCTCAGGGAGCAGCGAGGGTTATAACAAGCGGTGTGTCAGTGATAAAATGGGCAATGACAATGAAAAGGCAGAAGGGAGCCCAACAGGGGAGGAGAGGACCTTCATTCACCAGGTCAGAGGCACAGACTATCCACAGACAAAGGGGAAGCATGAAGAGTGTGGAGGAGGGTCAGGCATGGGAGCGTGAGGGTGAGCGCAAGGTAAGTAAGGAGGCCACCGTACCCGCCCAGGCTTAAGGTGAGGAGGGCAGGTGCAGGGTAAGGCCAGGGCAGAGGGATGGAGAAGGGGCAGGAGGGAGAGAGACTCGACAGCACTTAGCACAGAAAAGGGCGAGAGTGCGTTGTGGGTGGTGTAGGTGCACTTGATCTCACACTGGCTGAGGCTCTTAAAAAACCCAGCCGAAACAGCAGAGTTCTGAGGAGAGCTCGGGAACTACCAACGCTGTCATTTTTTGAAGAAAACCCCCAGTGTTCCCCTAAGCTTCTCTCAAATTCTATAAGAGTCAGACAGAAAGCTTGTTTTTCTTTTCATTTTTCTTGCCTATTGAGACCTGTCACTCCTGGAAGCGGGGTCTCCTGAAGCAGCACCTGTGCATTTCCAGCTCTCAGAGGGGTCGGCTCCTGCTGGCGCAGGCACCACCGGGCCACCACCCACAGCACTGGCCGGCCCGTGTGGAGCCCAGGCAGAGGGGAAGAGAAGGCCGAGTTCTCCTCCACTTGTTTCTCACCAGCACGGCTTTGCAAGGCTTCGCACTGCTCACAAATGCCTGGTGTATGGATTTTTGTAGAATTCCTAAAGTCTCTAAGCTGCCATGCTGACTCCTAACTTCTCACCAGCCATTCTGCTTTCATTCAGCAGTTTAGTAAAACAGAAACTGCTCGCCTCCAGTTTTTTCTTTAAAAGACAAATAATTCATAGTATTTTGGCCTTTCTTTGCAGTTCCTATTTCCTACATTCTAAGTTAATTTCATTACTGTCATTCCAAACTTTCCACTTTTAGTTGTGGCCCCTAATCAAGTACGAAAGTTCATTACTCAAAGGCCTGGCACTGATGAGAGCAGAACAGAATGGTTGCTTTGCTCTAAACACGTTTGACAATTGGAGTCAAACAAACCTGCTTCTTATCCTTCGCTGTAGCATCGCATTCACTGTTCTCAGGCTTCCTCAGGTGCTTCCACCTTCCTCCTTGGTCAAAAGTGATCATAGTCTGGACAGAATTATCTGAAGGGGAAAAGAGTGATATTAAGCCTGACACACTGGAAGCACCCTATTAAATTCAGTTTATCATTGCACAACTCTCCTAACTGAGACTATCTAACACCATCAGAACCCTGGAGTCCCATAAGCTTCTAACACCCAAAAAAACGGCTCAGTGGTGGTGAGCACCTGAGTAGTCTTCTAAATATGATATTTGAAGAAGGCTTCCCACTTGAACAGGACCTAAGTGATTCCAGAAATCATTTAGACTGATATGCTTGCAAAGAGACACCTTTTACCTCCTTACCAACACAAACAGGCTGATGTCCATTCTCTTTCCTTGCTTGCTTGCCCTAGAAGTAAAATCTATAATGGGAAGGCATCCTAATCTTTACTCAGACAAGGCCATGATACCATGCTTGTTTTAGGGACTCTCAAGATTTGAATGTCTGTGCGTTAAGTCTGAATATATAATTCCTAATTTTTGTCTCTCCACTACCGCAGATCCTATCCCTCTTAAACGTTTTCTTTTTTTTTCTCATGTCTCTTCCCCATTCTCTATTTTCAATGATAACAAACTGTTGCAGGTTTAAATTTAGAAATAATATGCATTGAATTTTCCAAGTAAAATCAAACAAGAAAGCAAATAAAGGAAAATTCATTTATTCAATAAATATTTATTGCATGCTCACTAGGTGAAAACTATTGTAAGCCTTTGGAAATACATCAGTGAACAAAACAGAAAAAAACTTTGTGAAATATATATTCTACTAGGGTGAGACAGACAAACACCAGACATTGTAAATAGGTAAATTATACAGTATGCTAGAAAATAAGTGCTATGGAAAAAACTTGCACAGTTAAAGGGAAACTGAGTGTGTGTGAGTTGGGGAGGGCAGACTGAAACTTAGGACAGTTGGGCTGGCCCGGTGGCATAGTGGTTAAGTTCACGTGCTCTGCTTTGGCTGCCCAGGGTTTGCAGGTTCAGATCCCGGGCATGGACCTACACACCGCGTATCAAGCCATGCTGTGGCAGGTGTCCCACATATAAAGTAGAGGAAGATGGGGCCGGCCCCATGGTGTAGCGGTTAAGTGCACGTGCTCCACTGCTGGTGGCCCGGGTTCAGATCCCAGGAGCGCATCAGTGCACCACTTGTCAGGCCATGGTGTGGCGGCGTCCCATATAAAGTAGAGGAAGATAGGCACCGATGTTAGCCCAGGGCCAGTCTTCCTCAGCAAAAAGAGGAGGATTGGCATGGATGTTAGCTCAGGGCTGATCTTCCTCACACACAAAAAAATAATAATAATAAAAAAATAAAGTAGAGGAAGATGGGTACAGATGTTAGCCCAGGGCCAATCTTCCTCAGCCAAAAAAGGAGGATTGGCAACAGACGTTAGCTCAAGGCTAATCTTCCTCACACACACACAAAAAAAGGACAGTCAGGGCAGGACTCATGCAGAAAGTAACATATGAGCAAAGACTAGAGGGGGAAGGTGTCAGCCTTGCAGACATCTGGGGAGACAGAGAGAACAGTCAGTGCAAATCTCTAAACCACGAGTGTGTGCACTTGGCGTGTTTAAGGACTGGCAGAGGGCTGGAGTGATGAGAGCAGAGGAGAGAAGCGTTAGAGATGAGGTTAGGGAGCAAACAGGGGGCCAGTGGTGCTTAGGACCCTGTATACCACTGCAAGGTCTTCACAAAATAAAAACAAACATTCCCACCTCCTACCAAAATATAAATACATAAATAAAACCTTAAGAGTCTTTGTACTTTAGAATAATATGTTTGTCTGTATAACTGGGCCATAGCAAAGGTGAGCTCTGCAGAACCACTGAGAGGCACAAAAGAGGAATCTTGGCTATTGCTACGCCCTCTCTACAAGGAGGAAAGCAGGAAGTGATTCAAACCCAGGCTCGTGCCTGTAGGCCTGAACCTCCCAATAGAGAAGACTTATTTTATAAACTAAACAACACAGCACCCAAAAAATCTTTCTTTCTACCTGCTGTTGCTTTGCTCTTTCTTAGTTCTATTTACCCTAACATTTAAAATAGAGAGGCAGAATTTACAGGGGGAGGCTTGTTGGCCAGGCAGGCGGCATCATTACTGAGGGGACAGGTCCATCAGTCTCCCCAAAAGCCTCAACTCCCAATATGTTCAGCCAAAGGACAGCTGTGCTAAGACGCACCTTCTGAGAGCACACTTGTTATGTAGACCCCGCGGAGGGAGGTCACATTGGTAAAGTCTGTCTCACCACCTGTGGTGGTGTAGAGATGTCGGTCCAACGACTTGGAATACACAATGCCTCGATCGTCTGAGGTAAAGATTGTGCCAAAACCGGTCTCTGAAATAGGCAGACAAATAAAAACACTAAGTCTTGGGAGGGAACAGAGAGAAAACAATAGTCTAACCACACACATGCCTGACTGACTGCACACATTAGCCAACTGTCTCTCTTGATGATGTAGACACAGACCTGAGGTTTGATACTCAAGCTCTTCGTGTCCATCTTTAATTCTAACGCTCAGCTCAGTGCCTGGAATATGGCAGATGCAGAGTTTACTGAATGAATTAATCAGAAGCTGCAGACAAGCTCTTCTCTGATACATTTTGGTGGCAGAGACACTGTATTTAGATTCATATCTTACACAACTCTAAATCTTTATACTCTAGAACAATGCTTCTCAAACTATCTGTGGTGAAGGATCAATTTTTTTTTTTCTTTTTGTGAGGAAGATCAGCCCTGGGCTAACATTCATGCCAATCCTCCTCTTTTTTTTTGCTGAGGAATATTGGCCCTGGGCTAACATCCATGCCCATCTTCCTCCACTTTATATGGGACACCGCCACAGCATGGCCTGACAAACGGTGTATCGGTGCGTGCCCAGGATCCAAACCCAGGCCACCAGCAGCGGAGCATGCGCACTTAACCACTACACCACGGGGCTGGCCCCTGAAGAATCAATTTTTAAATTTTCATCATGTCACAAACTGATGCTTTCGTAAAATATAATAAAAATTAATCACTGTAAAAATGAAATATAAAAGATAGACAAAATATAATCCTCAACTTTCTTATCATTAGATTCAATAGATATAAAATTACTTTGTCAAATGGCTATAAGAGTTTCTAAACGCTTGCTCTTGCTTTCTGTATTTATTTGGTAACAAAGAGTTTGCAAATCAGTACCAGTCCTCTGACCATTCTTTGAGTAGCATTGCTCTAGAACACTTGGACATAGACACAAACCATATTAGAGTGTCAAGACAAGTGTCTTTTTAACAGAGGCTACAAACTATCTCTAAGACAGAGTATGCAGTAGGACACTAATAAATTCCTAGGGATAAGAGGAAAAATCGACATTTAAGAAGGAAAGCTACTCAAAGGAGGGCTTGAAGCTTAAATCTCTATACACTCAAGGGTGGGCCACTAAAAAGCTCTTACCTCCAGGTTCATCTACATGCATGAATACCATGTCATCATTGGCTGCTAGAATAGAATAGAACTGTTCCTGCCCCACAGAGGGGAGCTGGGCCATGCTCCATGTGTCCCCTTGATCTGTTGACACATGAATCCTTCTTGTTGTATCCTGGAACAAATGCCAATATTTATTTTTTAAATTTTCTGTCAAGATGCCACGTGCAGGGACATGAATAGGAACATTACTATTAATAATTATAAGTATCATTATCCACTTTCTCACTGGGTATATAACTGTTATAAATGAAACATCCCAGTACCAACTACCAAAGCAATTTCTGACCTCTAGCAAAGTTCCAGGCAAGGAACAATCCATTCTATTGTTAAGTAAAGCTATCTTGGCTTCCTCTTTGGCTTCTTTATTCTGGTGTGGCCCTATAAGATACTATCCTCCCAACCTCTGACATTTCAATTTCCTTCAATAGAGCTAAGGGTTTGATGGGACCATCATTAGTTTGGCTTTATAACCATTTGCTTATGCTTGCTCAAATAATTCTTAAAATGATGACTGCTGCATAAAAGTTTGGTCCCTTTGAGATAGTCCCAGCATAATCCAAAGAATTAGATAATTAAGGGTCTAGAAAATGGAGATGAAATCCATGCTTGAGAGATCACAAGGGAAGTCAAGATTGGACACACCTCCTCTTTAATTTTAACGAAGTCTCTCAGAAGAGCCATAATAAAGGGAACATGCACAGGCTGGGAAGAGGCCAAGGAGAGTCAGAAATTAATATAAGGAAGGTGATCAGGGAGTATTTAGCTGTTAAAAGGACTCTGTTAAGGAGGCAATTAACACCCACTCTCTGATAAACAGTTTAAAATAGCTACTAGACACATTTAGCCAGGGTGTGAGAATTAGTCCCAGGGCCTCCCTATGTTAAATACTCTTTAAAGTTCAGTGACAAGTACATTTAACTTATTTTTCTAACTCATATCTAGATGTTTACTTCCAATCTTACTCTTATTGTTATAGGCAGAAACTAGAATTCAAAAGCACATAGAATTTTAATACTGTAGATAGTAGCAGTACAGTATAGGAGGCTACAATACAGAGGCCACCTCTGGAATCAGACAGTCTGATTTCTACCAGGGCTCCACCCCTGTGTGACCCTTGGCAAGTTACTCAATTTCCTCAAATAAAAATTGAGATAACAGTATTAGCTCATAGGGTTGTTGGGAGGATTATGACAAAATTGCTCGAGGGAGTTATCTGTAGTTACTGTGTCTACTTCCCCATCTCCAATTCTCTCTGGACTTACTCTAATCAATCTTTAACCTCAGTATTCCAATGAAACTGCTTTTGTCAAGGTTACCAATTCCAGTGGACAATTCTCAGAACTCATCCAACTCAACACCTCAATTGAGTTTAAAACAGCTGATCACTTCCTCTTTCTTGAAACACTTTTTCACTTGGCTTTAGTGACATCACACTGTCCTATTCCCCTTACGTCACTGGTCTCTCCCTCTCAGTCTTCTTTGCTGGATTCTCCATCTCTTTCCAACCTTTAAATGTTGGGTGCTTCAGGGCGTGCTCAGTCCTCCCACCTCTTCTGTAGCTACTCATTCCTCCAGAAGATACCATCTAGTCACATGGCTTTACATACGGTATAATTTTCGGAGATTCATGTACCCAAATGCTTACTGGACATCTCCACTTATATATCTAATAGGCATCTCATACCCAAAACTGAATTCTTGATCTTCCTCCCACAAAACTGCTTCTCCTGCCGTCTTTGCCATCTCAGTATATGGTACCACCATTCACCCAGTTGCTCAGGCCAAAGATTCTAAAGTTATCCTTGCTTCCTCTCCTCTCACAATTCACATCTAATCCATCAGCAAATCCTGTTGGCAATACGTTTAAAAATATATCCACTATCTTACCACTTCTCCCCTCATCCAGCCTGGTCCAACCTACCATCTCTTTCACTACTCGAACAGCCTCCCACCTGCTCTTGCTGCTTCCACTCCTGCCCCCAACAGGCTATTCTACACACACCTATTCTGTCAAAAGAGAAGCCAGGGGCCAGCCCCGTGGCTTAGCGGTTAAGTGCGCGCGCTCCGCTACTGGCGGCCCGGGTTCGGATCCCAGGCACGCACCCACGCACTGCTTGTCCGGCCATGCTGAGGCTGCGTCCCACATACAGCAACTAGAAGGATGTGCAACTATGACATACAACTATCTACTGGGGCTTTGGGGGAAAAAAAACCGAGGAGGACTGGCAATAGATGTTAGCTCAGAGCCGGTCTTCCTCAGGAAAAAGAGGAGGATTAGTATGGATGTTAGCTCAGGGCTGATTTTCCTCACACAAAAAAAAGAGAAGCCAAATTATGTCATTCTCCTGCTCACAACCCTTTCACGGCTTCCCAACACATCAAGAATAAAGGCCAAAGTCTTAATCGTGAGCTATGAAGGCCCTGTATGACCTGGCCGCTGGCTCCCCAACTTCGCCTGCCCTTCTCTGTGCTCCAACCACACTGCCCTTCTCACTTTTCTTCAAAATTTCAAGCACGCTCCAGCCTGAGGGTCTCTGCACTTACCGTCTCCTCCGCCGAGATGTCCAGATAGTTATGCTCTCCCTTCAGTCAGGTCCCAGAGAGCCCAGCCAAACCACCATATCTAAAACAGCACTGCTCCATTCCTGTCACTTTCCATTTCCTTACTCTGCTTTAGATTTCTTCAGAGCTTTAATCATTACTTGATATTACATCATATGTATTAGTTTAGTATCTATCCCCCTACTTGAATATAAGCTCTGAGAGCAGGACATTCACCTGTTTTGTTTACTGTTGTAGTCCTGTGACCAAGAATAGTAGTACTTAGTATACAGTAGGTACTCAATTAATGTTACCTATCTCTATTATTACTATTATTGGATAATGAGAAAATGGATTGCTTTTTTCAGCTACCCAGGTACTGAGTAAAGCCCAAACACTGGGTCTACATATCCTAAAACAGATAACAGAATTTGGGTGGTGACAAGAGGCTGAAGGGCAGAGGACCCCAGAGGAGTCAATCAGTCTCTATAAAAAGAAGCACCTCCAGATCTTACAGTGATATTAAATCTTGCAAAAAGGCAAGAAACTCTGTCAGTACAAGTCGTAAAAGGGATCTATTTGAGGCACATTTACAGAAATATCACAACCCAAAAAGAAGAGAGAAACACTCACCTTATCAGCCATCACAGAGGCAAAAAGGAAACGTCCCCCAAGACCAAATGAGTAGATTTTCACACCAATGGTTTTGAAGCTTTTCCCCAAGTCTGAAGTTCTCCATAATTCCAGGGCCCCAAGGTCAGCTTCTTAAACAAGACAAAACATTAATTAAAATTTCACTGACTGGTGAGCCTCTAGTTCAAAACAACCATTTTAGAATTGTTCTTAATTTTATAGCTAAAGGATTTTTAATCCTATGAATGTTAATCAAGCGACAATATAAATGTGATATGGCATTAGACATAGGAAATTCACATCTGGGTTTTATTTTATATATGTGTGGTTTTACAATGGACAGAAAGATAGAGTTTACTTAATTCCACTACAGTGTTACACAAAAATATCACAACGACAGCATCCTGCTTTACCTTCTTCATGACACAGTTGAAATTATCTTATTCTATTTTAAGTTGTCTTGTTTGAGTTTTGGTTTTCTTGTTGATCATGCAACATCCCTACTTGAATTTAAGCTCCATGAGAGCAGGCCTTAGGCGTCGTGTTCTCTCCACCCTTAGAACAGTGTTTAGCATACTACAGCAGGGGCTCAAGTGAATGAATGAATAAATGAAATGAATCTGTTGAATGAATAAATGAAAGATTTTGCTCTCTGCTTTGAAACTGTGCCACTGACTGGTAAGTCAACGGCTTCCACCAACACAAACACAATCCACGCTCTTTTGCCGAAATCATTATGCATTTCAATTTGTTATTGTTTGTAGCCTAATATTTACTTTATGTAAATACATTGCTAAAATTAAGTATACTGTCTCCATGTATAGCCTGCATTTTTATTTGTTCTAGGCACCGTAATTTGGTTGTACTTTCAAGATATTAAAAATCATTAACAGCTATCTTTAGCTATTGAAATTAGAGGAGAATAGAAGGATCTTTGATGTTTCTCTTAGAATCCAGAATATTCTACCATGAATGGACAACAGGACACACTTTTCCGGGACTAAGACATACTTACTGCAGGAGCCATTCACATAGGTGGTAAAGAAGACCGTGTTTTCTGATCCCCTACAATGAGGCAAAGACAGGGAAAACACACAGTTCAAGACTGCTAATGGATTGTGCCAACCTTAGTCACAAAACCCCAAGCAAGTCTGATAAGCCTCATCCAAAGGTATTAGCTGAAACTGCCTTCTTGGATGCTATACCCCCAAATCTTTCACAGCCTTACCAGGCAAGGTGCCCCACAGCCTGGACCCAGGCATTTCCCACAGTCCACTACTTCTCTATACCAACTCTTCTGACTGGTCAACCTGATCTACTTACACTCTCCAAATCTGCCTCTTGCCTTTGCTTATACTGTTTCCTTCTTAAAATGCTTTTCCCTTGTGTAACTAAATCTCACCCTCATAATCTTCAGGCTCTAGCTTAAAATCTAGCTCTTCCATGAAGCTTTCCCTGTCAGTCCAACTGGAAAGCTTCTTTGCTGCAAACTTCTAGAGCAGTGGTTCTCAATTAGGGGTGATTTTGCTCCCCAAAGGACATTTGTTACTAGCATCTAGAGGGTAGAAGCCAGGGATACTGCTAAAGATCTTACAACGCACAGGATAGCCCCCACAACAAAGAATTATCTGGTCCAAAATGCCATTAGTGCTGACTGAGGTTGAGAAACCCTGTTCTAGAGCACTGTGCCAGTCTGCATCAGCCAGCACTCCTCTGTCTCCTATTAAGTTATTTTAATCGCATAGTGTACGTCTTACCCTCCTACCACACTACTGGCTTCTTCAGGACAGGTACTAAGTTTCACATTTCCCCTCAGAACCTAGTTCAGTGCTTTGCAGGAGTTAAATAATTTAGTTCTTTCATCACAAATAGACAACTAGGTCAGAGGTTGAATCATGTAAATTGTAATTTGGAAAGGGAGTTTGCAGGGGAACTAGGTTCAGACCTGAGAGTACTTATAGATTAGCACCAGCAAAAGGTGCTGGGTCTGAACACATTTTTTTCAGAACTTTAGGTTGTAAATTCCTAGAGATCAAAGATCTAAAAGGTGAGTAAACAGTTATCAGCCACACAGTTATCTTATATTTAGACACTAAACAAAAAACGAGTTACAAAAGGTAAAAAACCTTGTATAGGATACAACGTAAAACACCATCTTAAAATAACTTTTTAAAGATGGGTTTTTTTGTGTCTTTCATTTAACTTGATTGAAGTAAAACTGACAAAATTGTAAGATATCTGAAGTGTACATTGTGGTGACTTGATACACATATGCAAAGATGAGTTTTAATGATTAAAATTACTGTCGTCTTATTTGAACACATCTTACATATTTTAGGTCCATCAGGAGTGAAACAATTTGTTAACTTACTTTAAAAATTACTTCCTTCCTGACGGGACCATATAAGGTACAAACACAATTCATTAAAATACATAAAATGAAAGCAGATGTGGCACATGTACCATAGTGGTGCTGTAAAAACCTCATTTAACTAACATTTTCCGGAAAAGGCCCACTTTATTTAAGCAACATTTTTTTATATTTTAGTTAATTTTGGTAGACGTATTCGGCACTGTCTGTATTACACATTTCTGTGACTCCCTAAGTAGAGGACATTAAATATTAATCTCTTCCTTGGGATTAGGGGTCATTGTGAACATCAACCATATGAAACTATAACAGAGTGTTCCCATCAGAAGTTACCGAGGCACGAGTGCTCTCTTGATCTTGCACTAAATCATTTCATCCTGCTACGTTCTCTCAGTTTCCGTCTGCTCCGGTAGTTCTCCTGCCTCCACGCAGCCCTCAGGCAGCGGATTCTTATGCTGGCATCTGCTTGTTGTTAGCACTCATATACCCCACCTCTGGCAGCAATCTGCTACCAACTGGGAAACCAGATTAACAAATTTGCTGAAATTAGTCAAAGAGAAAGAAGAAAGTGGTTCTAAACAAGGGTCTGAGCCTAATCAGAATTTTGGAGGTCTAAAGGCTCTTAATTCGTTTCTTACTTAACCATCCCCCCAATTCCCCAGACAAATCTCCTTTCACAGAAGGAAAAAACTGAAGCAGAGAGAGGTTAAGCCACTGACTAGCAGCAGAGCCAGGTTAGAACAAAGATGATGTGACTCCTAAGTAAGAGCCTCCTCCACTATATCATCTGTAAGCAGGTACCTGGCAGGGGGTCTCACCGAGAGAAGTGAATGAGTTTGGTGCATGGACAGTGTGAGCTCTTTGGGCTTTCTTCCTGATTCCTCGCTACATTCCACATCACTGAAATGGATGTCTAGATGAGGGGGTGTAAATCTGGGCGCAGAGAAGTATGTAAGTCCCCAAATCAAAGCTGTATGTTATGCTGTTCCAACTGACGTCACCATTTATGGAGAATAAACCTTTTGCAGACAGCAGCTACTCAGTGACGTGCCTTGTTTTATACTTTACATTCTAACATTCAGTGAGACTCAGTCTTCTTTCCCAGCAGAATTAGAAGCTCCTCTGGGTCAAGGTCTGTGTCATATCCCTCTCTCATATCCTTTACGGCACCCTGAAGAGTACTTGGCACAGGGTAAGTGCTCGATATTTATTCATGTGACTTCTGGCAGCACTGTCAGGAAAGGTTGAGGGCTCTGCACAGATGGAGTCTTCTGTTACTCACCATTTGGCCAAACATACTGCTTTGTGGATTTCTTCCCATTTTCCCCCAAAATTCTTGGACACCCACAGGCCATTCTGAAAGATTATAAATGACTTATCAAAATTCCAGCTTTATCCTGTGCAGCTGCTTGTATGACCTTTAATAACTCATATCTAATCATTCAGGACAATAAAACACACACTGAAGTTCCATTCGGGCTGCCTGAGCTCCAAAGACACACACACCAAGTTATAGGAGCCCTCTCCGGATCTGGGACTGCAGAATAACAAATGTTTATTAAGTGCCTACTATGTGAAAGGCACTGTCGATACAAAGACACTGGGGATATAAAGACAAATAAGACACACTCTGTGCTCTTAAGGAGCTCACAATGTAACAAGGGGCACAGATAAGAAGAAAGTTTGACACAATGCGCTAAGTGTTACGGAAACATGGTCTCTAGGGTAAGAGTAGGGAGAAGAGGGACACTGCACCAGAGACAGTTTGTGAACTGAGTCTTATATGATGAGCAGTGTAACCAAAAGAAGGCAAATGGGGAGACAAGATGTTGTGGCACAAAGAGAGACTAGTACTAACAATGGCAGAGAAGTGGGTGCAGGGAGCTAAAACCCTTCAGACTTTGATGGAGCACCAATTCCAAGGTGAGGAAAGGGGTAGCAAATGCTAAGGAGAGAGGTGAGGGCCAGCTCACAGAGCCCTCCTTCTATGCCATGCTGAGGAATCTGGTCTTTATTTTATATGAGGTACTCGAAGAAGGAAGGTGCTCTAAGCAGTGAAATGATAGTCAGTTTTACTTGTTTAGGTGGAATACTTGGATAACAATGGAAAGATGGATTTCAGAAGGTCCAAACTAGAAGCAGGAAAAGCAGTGACTAATGCCACATTAGTTCATTAAGAGTTAGTGAGGCCCTAAACCATGGCTGTCAGGGAGAGGCTCAGGAAGAATTTAGAAGCTAGATTCAGTAGAACTGGATGACAGCCTGCACGGCAGGACAGAGCGTGCGTCAAAGTTGATCACTCTAGGATTCTGGTTAAGGGATAAGACACACTGTGGAATCTTTAGCTAGTATAAGGATTAAGGGACGAAGAGCATGTCTGAGGAAGACAACGGCAGAAGTCAGTTTCCGACTGAGTTTCTGGGACATCTAGCTAGAGACATCCAGGGGGCAGCAAAATAGGAGGAAGCCAGGGCCAGAGAGGATTTGAGAATCTTACACATCATAAGAGGTAGTTAAAGTGTTAAGAGCGGAAGAGATTACTCAGAGTGAAATGTGCAGTAGGGATTTAAGGGTAGGTTGAAAGGAGTTTAAGAAAGAGACCAAGAAGAAATGGTTAGAAGGTAGAAAAGAATCAAAGGAAATGAGGTTACAGAAACCAAGCAAGCAGAGTTTTCAAAAGGCAAGATTGGCCAATACTTTCAAAAACAGAGGAGACTTAATAAGATAAAGACTGACAATGTAGTTACATTGGCAACACGAGCCTATTGGGCTCAGATTCAGTGGAGGCAGGACAGAGATGTTCCAGAACAGCGGAAATTAAATGCGGCTGATCTGGGCAGAATCTACCTTCAGTGCTCTCCCACTCTCACCCACCATTCTCCTTTTTAAACTTTTCCTCCTCTCGTAATGCTCACTTCTCAGTATTTCTAATTTACCTAATTCTACTTAGAAAGACAGAAAAGGGTCTAAAATCACCAATTTGCACGTTAGTACAAATTGGTCCACCTTCTCCACACAGATTTTTTGTACTTCAAACTTACCCTTAATTGGAAGAAATTTCAGGTATAAAAGTAGATTGTGCCTACCCCTTCCTGAGGATAGCCTGTTTTAATAACCTTAAGATATTTAGTAACAGAGATGAAGTAGTCAAAGAATCTACGGTTCTGTCCAGGGTCTCTTTGCTCCCTTGAAGGGCCTTCAGCTCAAGCTGCTGGAGGTCAATATCCAGGAACCGTTGCTGTAAGATCGGAAGCCTACCCAGCAGGCTAGTGTCCTTCCTCTGGCCTCCTTTGGCTAAGCTGAACTCTGACCCTCATTGAGCCCTCCAGCCCTACCTCTGCTCAAAGATCTGCCCCCAGAAGGCCCAGGACCCAGACCTCTCTTCCAGTGCACTTCATCCTCCCTTTGGTCAGCCCGACTTGTCCACATTTGATGATCCTGTTTCTGTCCCCAGAACGGCTCTCAAATTTTACTGTGCAGGCTCAGCAGGGGAGCTTGTTAAAAATACTAGCCACTTTGCAACCAAAGTCATTCACTTATTATATCTGAATCGGGGCCTAGGAATTTGCCTCTTAAACCAGCCTCCCAGGGGTTTCTATCTGATGTTGCTGGTCAGTAGACCACACACTAAGAAATAAGATGAGAGAGAGCCATATAAACGTAAAGGATAATTATAATTATCATAGTCTAACAACTCAGCCACTTCGGGCACTTAACATCCATGATAAAGGAGAGTGGTCCTCCAGGAAAGGAAAGCTGAACATGCTCCTCAGGGAACTTTCAGAAGACAGTTGGGAGGGTTAGGGCGGCACGCTGGTTTCTGGGGAAAATATAGGAATGTGGTAGGGGGTGCAGGGATTTAAGACTCTGGGTATTTAGCACATGAGTGTCAAAGACAGAAATCAATATGCTTTATATACTAAGGAACTAACAAAAAAGAAATAATTATAAAGATGTGGTTTGGCCATAGGAAAGGAACAATAACAACATGAGGAGTCTGACAATTTATGCTTGTCCCTTGCAGCACAAGAATGATTACATTAAACTGTTTTCTAATTCATTAGTCCAACAGCACACACCTATTCACTTAAAAAAAACTGTATTAACAACTAGACATCATACTTTTCTGGAATAGATAGCCCATGAAAAGTGTGCCTTTTATCAAATAGGAAAAAAATGCAAAAAATACACACTTCTTGACATAAGAAGTCACTAGAAAGCAGTCCAATATAAAAGCATTACCTACAGGGTCCTTTTAAGACAGTATTTTTTGACACTATAAAAATGCAAAAGGCAAGACAAGTTCCTCCACCAGACTTACGTCAGTGCTGAGGGCGAGAAGATGATCAGAGTTCTGAGGGCTGTACATCATCTGAGTCAGGGGGTGGAAAGGGAGATTGGTCTGAACAAAGTTCTTCGCAAAATCTGAGGATCTAAAGATTCTTCCTCCATGGCTTCCTCCAGCCACCTCTGCTGTTAAAATCACCTGATTAGGAAGAGGAAAGCTCAGATTCAGGGCAAATACTATAAAAGCACAGGAAGTTCTTGTACCATTTTCAAGACATTAGTTAAGAAAATTTTAGTTCCAAAAGTAAGAAGAGTTATAAGAACAGATTAGTTGGTGCACTCCAATCCTCAAGTATTAGTCTTATCAAAAAATACTATCCTGGGCCGGCCCCGTAGCTTAGCGGTTAAGTGCGCGCGCTCCGCTACTGGCGGCCAGGGTTCGGATCCCGGGCACGCACCGAAGCACTGCTTCTGCGGCCATGTTGAGGCCGTGTCCCACATGCAGCAACTAGAGGGATGTGCAGCTATGATACACAGCTATCTACTGGGGCTTTGGAGGAAGAATAAATAAATAAAAAATTAAAAAAAAAAATACTATCCTGAATTGAGCTAGCACATCATACCTATGAATTTGAGCCTGGTCAGTTTGAGGTTAGCCAGTTTCCCAAAAGACTAAAACGTTGTCTTAAGGAGTATACGTTGTAATGCTAAAGAGCTGCTGCACAACGATGAAGAGTTTTGGTGTATCTTGGATAGGGACCAAAAGAGAATCTGTGTGCTAAATTCCATTCTTTTGTGATCAGTATTAAATTATGTTAAATTTTAAAACATAGTAATAGTAAACTAAATATATTGCTGTGCATCACTGGATCATTCCAATATTAATATCTGACAGTCCTGTATTAGCATCAAGCATACCTTTCTAAATGCATGAATAAGTCTCACCTTTCCAGAGTTCTCAGGACCAATGGCCATGCCAAATTCAGTCCGAATGAAGGTGTTATTGATGAGATTTGTAATATCCTTAAAGTTCTTTCCATAGTCCTCACTGAGAGGAAGAAAAACAAGACAAATTTTGAAGGCAGTGGTAACAGGCATTGCTGGGTTCCTGCCCAGCTTCCCTTCTCCCTTTCCACGGACTGTGTTGAGGCACCCACCCTCCCCCCAACAGTCACCTGCCTCAGGGGAACTGATTCTGTCCCTCGCTTCAGTGGTGGGCCTCATTAGCCTGAAGGAAATTCTATCCCCCTCACCGGTGGTCAGGAATCAGGGCGTAACCCAGGTTGAGCCAATAAGACAAAAATGGGAAATTTGGGGTCTTTTAGGAAACACATTTCCTCACACTTAAGACCGTCACTTGACAAAATGGTCTGTCTTCCTTTAGACCAGTGGTTCTCAACCAGGGTATTTCTGTTCCCTCTCACTAACTGCCTGCCCACCCACCCACAGCCCCCCTACTCACCCTCCCAGGCCCTGCAAACATTTGGTAATGTCTGGAGATATTTTTGATGATCACAACTCAGGGTTGAAGTGCTACTGGCATCTAGGGGTAGAGGCCAGGGATGCTGCTAAACATCCTACAACGCACTGGACAGTCCACAACAACAAAGAATTACCTGGCCCCAAATGATAATAATGCCAAGGTTGAGAAACCTCAATGTTGCAGTATGTGAATGCAAAGCAAAAACTTGCTATAGGCATTTTGACACAATGAGAGTACAACATGAAGATGAAGCCAACGTAAGTGGAGAGTACTGCTGAGGTAATTCTGGAATTCCAGAGGGGCAGAGCCTACAACACTGGATTGAACTGACACTGAAGCCCGTCCTTCCTCTGTATTTAGTTATGAGTCATTAATCTCCTTATTATTTAAGCTAGCTTGAGTTGGGATCTCTGCAAAACGTAGCCAAAGGCCTCTAACTAATCTATTAATGCAGCGCACTCATGATAAAACTGTAAGTTAAGTAGCAAGAGTCTTAAAGTCGCCCCTCAGAGGTGTACCACCCTAGGCACAAGTCTCTAATGCATGCAGCGCACAAAACAAACTAGGAAAAACAAACTTAATCTCAACTCTTGGGCTGTCAAAGCTTTTCCCAAAAGTTCATTCCAACACTATTTTTGAAAGGTATTCAAATCCATCTTTAGATTTCGAAAAATAAAAGCAAAAAAAATCAGTAGCTGTCTAACTCTGACAGGTTTAATACTATGTACAATTCTCTTAAAACATGACACAGAATGCTAAATCTTAAAATTCACAGAATTTGGGCCGGCCCCGTGGCTTAGCGGTTAAGTGCGCGCGCTCCGCTGCTGGCGGCCCGGGTTCAGATCCCGGGCGCGCACCAACACACCACTTCTCCGGCCATGTTGAGGCCGTGTCCCACACACAGCAACTAGAAGGATGTGCAGCTATGACATATAACTATCTACTGGGGCTTTGGGGGGAAAAAAAAAGGAGGAGGATTGGCAATAGATGTTAGCTCAGAGCTGGTCTTCCTCAGCAAAAAGTGGAGGATTAGCATGGATGTTAGCTCAGGGCTGATCTTCCTCACAAAGAAAATAAATAAATAAAATAAAAATAAAAAAGATTCACAGAATTTGAATGTCCAACAGTGAAGACCACTGTGTATTGCAAGTTAGTTGCCCAGTGATAAACGCAATGTGCAGTGGTCTTCATCAATAGAATATATGACTTAAAAGGTGGTATAAATTTTGGTAGCAGCCTTGACAAATAAAGATTCTCAAATCCACAGAACACGAGAGACGCGAGGGACTGAAGAGAACATCTTGTCTAACTCTCATTTCACAGATGAGGAGGTACAAGGGGAGGCAATTCATCAAAAGTCAACCAGTTAATTAAGAGCAAAATTGAAACTATAATACAATCCTCTTAACTCTCGGTCCCAAATTAGAGACAATTTTTTTGTGTGTGTGTGAGGGAAGACCAGCCCTGAGCTAACATCTGCCAATCCTCCTCTTTTTGCTGAGGAAGACTGGCCCTGGGCTAACATCCGTGCCCATCTTCCTCCACTTTATATGCGATGCCGCCACAGCATGGCTTGACAAGCGGTGCGTCGGTGCGCTCCCAGGATCCTAACCTGCGAACCCTGGGCCGCAGCAACAGAGTGCGAGCACTTAACCGCTTGTGCCAGCCTGCCGGCCCCGAGACAATTTTTAATTATTTGTGAGGAGTTTTTCCCTTCCAACTTGCAGTCTTTCTCTCTCTTGCCAGGGCTTGTGGCCTAGCAGTAGAGATCAGCTAAGAGGAAGCAGGAGACAGACAGGAGGGAAGTATCTTTGAGTGTTTGCAGAGGTCCCTGACAGTATGCTGCAGCAAACTGCACGTGACTTTAAGTTGTCTAAATGACTCTTCCCATCTCTTAGCACACACACAGAAAATTCCTAGATAAATAAAATAGGGATTAGGCACCACCCAACAATTTTCTATACTGCCCTTTTTTGGCTTTGAAGTACAAGCAGAGCTCTTATCTTCCTGACAGCAGACCAAGAGATGCACATAAACAACTCCAGCTCTACAGCGGACATATCATCAACAGCTCAGACAACCTTCTAAAGGCGTTGGCAGCAGCTTGATTATCACCAGTTTACAAATCTCCCCTCCTTCATCATATCCCCCGGGGAACCTCCACAAACCTGTTGGCAAGCTGTCTTGCTGTTTAAGAATTAGGCGCAACAAACACATCCTTGCCCTTCAGAAAAAGAAAGCAACAAGAGCGAAACAAAAAATCATCCACTACAATACTCTGGGATTTTAGCCAGTTAAACAACTGAGCACAAAGGACTAGTATCAACCTGCTGGGATTTAAGTAGGGGTCTGTCAAGGCCATGTTGGCCCAGGATATACTTTAACATAACACTTCATTTAAAGTAGCTTCATTTTCTATCAGCATATATATCAGTATACAAAATATATCATGGAGAGGAAATCAATGAAACACCTTGAAAAATGTATATACTTTTCAAATTACATATCGTAATTAATAGAGTTATGAACAGCAGTCAAATCAGTTAACAAAATCCTGTGAAATCATCTGCTTTAGAAACAAGTCTTTTTAATAACAATTTTATACATCAACCCTAATCTCTGCTCTTTCTGGTTACCAAAAATAAATGATCACTTTTGCACGTATCTGTGGTGTAAACACGCATAAGAATATGCCCATGTTTCTAACTCAAGAAAACAGTACTAGAATACAAATATTTTTTGGAACAGAGCCTAATATTGCCAAAGAACAAGAAAAATCTAAACATTATTAAAATAAATGAAAAAAAAAGAAGTAATCATCACATGGACTTCTGGTAAGATATAGCATCAAAATCCCTAGTAAGATGAAACACTCAAAAGGGGTTTTTTCCAGAAGACTCACATGTTGACACTCACCCCAAATGTCAATAGCCAAGAATCATACCCTTGTTTTTGAGCACTTTTTGTTAATAACATATAGGAACTTGTGACACCAGACATTTGACCGGCAGACATTTAATGAGAAGTAACAGTAAAAGTGTCCTACAGTATCTCAGAGAATCTTACACTTCACTTTTCTCAACAATTAAACAAGCTCAGATATCCTTGTTTGGTTGGGTTTCAGGCCTAATCATTTCTCTATTCCTTTAGTTCATTTCTGCCATGATTAAGTCACTATAAATTGCAACAAAAAAGCAACAAGGACGACAACAAACTCTTAAAAAAATAATTATAGTTTTGTAGTTTTTACTGATTGGGAAAGTTTATACAGTCGACCCTCATTATTCATGGATTCTGTATTTGAGAATTTGCCTACTCACTAAAATTTACTTGTAACCCCAAATCAATATTCGTGGCACTTTCGCAGCCATGTGCAGACACGCACAGGGTGGCGAAAAATTTGAGTCACCCAGTGCACATGTTCCCCAGCTGAGGTCCAACAGGAGGACACTCTGCCTTCTTGTTTCAGCTCTTATGCTGTAAATAAGTGTCTTCTTCATGGTCTATTTAGTGCTATTGCATTTTGCATTTTTGTGCTTTTTGTTGGTGATTTTGCTGTTTCAAATAGCCCCCAAGCATAGTGCTGAAGTGCTGTTTAGTGTTCCTGAGCACAAGAAGGCTTTGATGTGCCTTATGGAGAAAATACTTGGGTTATATAAGCTTCTTTCGGACGTGAGTTGGTTGTGAGCTCAATGTTAATGAATCAACAATAAATATATATTAAATAAGGTATCTTCAAACAGAAACACACATAAAACAAGGTTATGTATTGCTCAGTTGATGAAAATGAATGTTATGACCAGAGGTTTGCAGGAACCTAACTCTGTATTTCCCTGAGGAGCAAAGGTTCAGGATTCACTAACTCAGTATTCATGGAGACTTTGTAGAATATAACTATTGTAAATAATGAGGATTGACTGTATTGAGATTTCCAGTTAAAAGATCAATAGGGAGAATGTAGCTTATTAAAATGTGCCAAAGGAATCATAGACCTGAAATCATCGCCAGGTAAAATTGGCAGAATTTGAATTTACGTTAAACTGACTCCAAATACTTCAGTCTCTTTTTTTACCCCAACTGTCTAATGCTACCTTACATATTTTTATTTTAATATTTTATTGTGTTTAATCCTTATTGGAAAAAGATATATGTTTTCTGTAGAAATTTTGAGAATACAAGTGGTAAAACAAAGAGGGTAAGAAAACGTAAATAAAATCACAGAACTTTTTATCAGAAGGAACATGAGTATGTATCTTGGGTCCATATCTCGCTTTGATTGACAAGATGACTCTAAGAATAGGTATTTTCATGGGAATATTTCCTAAGTGATGAAACCTCCTAGTTTCACGATTTTTATATGCCCTAAGTTTGTAAAAGTGAAGCTGTAGTAAAATGCCATCATCATACATTTTAATAAACTTTTCTTTAAGAAAGGAAAAGCAAAGCAGGGAAATATATTTTGTAAATGGAATTTATGCTAACCTAACTAAAATATGCAGTCATAGTTAATAATCTACTGCAGTGAAAACTGAACCAAGCATATCATTAAAAAGGCTGTCATACAAGACATCTTGGGGAAGCTGGTTTACTATACTTTGCTTTAATATCTGTTATATACTTTTAAGTTATCCTTTTTTTTTTTTAACCTCAAGTAACACCCTAAAAAACTTACACTGACTATGGAATAAACTTTAATGTGAAATCTCTTAGAGATTCTCTTATTAATTTCCAAAATTTGAACAACTCTCAATAGGAAATAAAAATCACAAATAAAATAGCCCAGCAGTTTTGTGGTAATTAGGTACAGAATTTTGGTGTAGAATAATGCTTATGTGTGGTTCAGTAAGCTGATATTACAATGATCTTAAACTCAAGAGGCCATAAAACAAACAGGGGCAAAACTTCTTTAGTTTCCCAAAATCAAATTATCATCTGAACCATAGCTAGTTTATTTCCTTTTTAACTTCATATTTGCAAGTGAGAGGCAAATGCACTTTACAATCTATTACATGAATTAACATTCCTTAACAGAGAATCAAAATTTATACTCTTCAAACATGACTTCTTTAAATTGAAGATATTAATATATTACTCAATTTTACCTAATCGCTAATGCCTAGGGACTATTTATTACTTCCCAAATCTTTCAACAATACTTTTTCACAACCCAAAGACTGAAGTATACTTCCTCTAATTCGGCACAGGTAACGGAGACCACTTTCTTCTATTCTTGTGAGCCTCTGCGCTATACTACTCAGAGCAGGGTGCATGTGATTAGCTGCTTTTTATTTGAACCCCAAGTAAACCTTTGACCCCATAAGATTAAGTAGAGAAAGTTAATTCAATAAACAATATAATCATTAAAGCTGTGAAAAATAGCAGAGTCTTCAGAGTGGATTCAACAGGCTTTTATTTTATTTCTCAGTTGGGCAACCTCAGCATATTCAGGACTCATTTTGATCAAACAGCTCCCTCCCTTTCCCATTTCTGAAGCAACATGTGCCTCTTGGCTGGCGTGTTCAACAACATGAGTCACTTCAGACCAGGCCAGCCCAGATGGAGAGGCAACAAGGCATATTTACAGCTTCCACCTAAACTCTGGAAGAGTTTTCATGTCGCAGCACGGTGGAAATAATTAATATTCAAAATGACCTTGGTAAAAGCAAAAAAGACCTGCTATGCAACATGAAGAAAAAGAACCATGGTAACATGATACTATACCAGAAACAAATAGGACTGCTCTCTAGTTAAGTGTATGTTAGGGGTTTCTCACAAGACCAGACAAATATAGGATGAAAAAGGGTCAGATGGTGGTAGGTATTTAAACAGTAACACAGTGATACAGTTTTTGTTTTGTTTTTGGTTGTCTTCAAGTAAACATAATATTGAAAAGCAAAGGATGTGAAAAAAAGTCACGAAAACACATTTCACTGCCCTGGAGTATGCCTCAGGAACCTGTCGGGTCCAGTTCCAGCCACACGACTAAAGAACAATGTAGAGAATAAAAAGTGAATTCAGAAGGCAAGCAAAAAAGTGATTGAAGCAATAGGTATAGAAGATAATTCAACCTGGAGAAGGAGGAGTTTAGTAAAGAGCATTCAAAACATGTAGGGATCAATCAGAGAGGAGGTTTTCATTTGCTACTAAAAAATGAACCGGAGGGCCGGCCCTGTGGCTTGGTGGTTAAGTGCGCTCGCTCCGCTGCTGGTGGCCCGGGTTCAGATCCCGGGCGCCCACCGACGCACCGCTTCTCCGGCCATGCTGAGGCCACGTCCCACATACAGCAACTGGAAGGATGTGCAACTATGACATACAGCTATCTACTGGGGCTTTGGGGGAAAAATAAATAAATAAATAAAAATTATTAAAAATGAACCGGAAATTAGCATCCTCCGTGACACATATGTACGATATTTATCACAGCAGCATCAGTAAAAGTGAAAAAATCAGCTACAATCTAAGTGTCCAAGAGAGTATGATTAAGTAAATTCTGTCAACCTAACAAAAATGCTGAAGGTTACTAGCAGAGGGGATATGAAAAATATCGTGGTATAAGCACTGACCAATCAGAATGGGTATAGGTCGTAACGCTAGGTGTTAGTAACACCTGCATATTGCCAGGGGCGGGGACGTGTGTGCATTTGTAGAAGCTATGCAAGCATCCGGGGACAGGCAATCACTTATTACCAACTGGCATAGAAGGCTCTCAATTCTTTTTAACAACCGGTACAGCAGTGACAGCACATGCTGGCTACATGCCATCCCTGGCTGTAACAGCACCAAGTTCTTACTCCACACCAGGCATCACAAAGCATAATTCCTAACAGCTCTAAGGTGGTCATAATTAGCATCTTTCCTTTACAGATGACAAAAAAGACTCAAGGAGGTTAAATGACTTGCCCAAGTTCATTCTGCTTGTAAATGACAGTGCTGAGATTCAATCTCACACCTATGTGCCAACAAAACTTGGCAACTTTATGCTGCAACATGTTGCTTCCCAAGACCATGCAACCATATGATATAACTTTAAAGGGGAAAATCAAGATAATAAACTGTAAATAAATTAAGATTACACTCGAAGTTAGAGTGAATTTTTTTCTTGCCTTTAAAATTTCCAAATGTTTTATAATATCATTGTATTGCTTTTATAGTGAAAGATAAATTGGTAAGAAAAACTGTATCATAAGGAAAGATTTTATGACAGCAAGGTTTCTTAAACACTGAGTGAGTTACTGAAGTAACAAATTTTTTAATGCATTTTTCCCTCCAAAACAAGATACTTTTCATCTGTCTGAAATGGTTCAACTACTGTTCTAATTGAATAAACAAAATCACCTATAAATTACAGTCCTTCCTAGCACTCGGATTCTATAATACATTGTCAATCTTTGCCAAACAAATAAAAAAATATTACCAGTCTAAAAATTACAGAGAAGCCAAGCGATTCATTCATTCAGTTAATATGTACTGCCTGCCTCCTGTGTGTCAGTCATTAGGCTAGTTGCTAGAGAAACCCAAGTTAGTCAAGAACCTTGCCTTCATGGAGCTTACAGCAATTCCAAGATGGCAATTCGTTCTTGCCTATTTTTAAACCAACATCACTGTGCTGAAGGGCAGAGAGCACTAGCTCCAGGCCCAGGAGCAGCAGCAGTCAAGGATCCCACCTACTGGGGAAGGGAGGTTGGGCTGATCCATCTCAGAGCTTCAACATGGGTTCACTCCCACTGAGAAGACAACCAGCAATTTCTGGGAGCTAGCTGGTCTTGAATCCTATGGTTAAGGAAAAGAACCTACTATTTTACCAAACTCTACCGTTGAGAAGACAACTCTAAAACTTTGTGAATGCCACAGAATAGGTTATGGTTCCAGAACATACATTATCACCATCATTACCAATGTGAACACTACAAGGTACATTATCACCATCATTACCAATGTGAACACTACAAGGCACTTTGGTAGGTCTGACCTGAGAACCTCCTCCCGATCTAGAGACAATCTGTTTGGGGCTCAAAGTGTTCATAAATAATATTCATTTGGAAGTATAGTGAGGATTGTTATTTCAGGAATATAAAAACCATTTTGTGCTCATAATAAATAGAAAGATGCTTAAACTCCATGCTATCTTCCTGCAAATAAATATCTATTTAAATTAATAAACACACACCCCTACAGATTCTTCCTTCATCCTCCTTTATTGTTTTGCCACTCAGTCAGGTTGTCGTAATCTCCTTGGAAGTAGATTCATTTCATACCTCTGCAGGTTGCTAAGTAGATATTAAAAAGTATGCTGAGTGTGATAGTCTGGTGAAAATTTAAGATGGCTAGAAGATCTTTTAAATCGACTGTTAGACTCCATCATGTCTAGAAAAGGGGGGAACTTACATTCACAATGTGTTACTCAGTCAAATACCCCAGCCATGTGTTATGCATCTCACCTTCGATATAGCTTGGACTGTCCAAAAGTCAGTGGTATATGGAAGGTAGTCAAGACTAGAATGATCTGGAGAGAGACAAAAGAATGAGGTCAATAAGAAAGCTGGTCCAATTACATGCTTGCATATGATGGGACTAAATCAACATCTGAAAGATTGCCAATAGCCCTGTTTTGTAGTAGCCTATAATCCTAATATATCTGAAAACTCAGAAGGACCAAGTTACTAGGGCTTACAGTGATTCAAAATCTCAACTCATTTTGTTGAGAAGGTCCTATCGCCTACACTTGAAGCAGTGAGGCAGAGCTAATCAACAACACATTACAGTAAAGGAAGGATTTAACTATTGTGTATCCATATTATTGTAAGATAGTCTCAGGCAAGAATCATCTTTCTTTCTGGTTACAGAACAGTGCAGGTGTTCTAACACAGGTCACTGTGTCACACATATCTGTCCTTCTTCTCCCTGCTGTTTGCTCTTTGTGAAATTAATTTTTTAAATAAGCATTTTTCTAGTGCAAAATATGCATGAGGAAAAGATTCTGACAGGTTAGTAAGAGGCTAGGGAGTCCCAAGTAGCTATATAACAGGAAATCTTGGAGATACCAACTATCTCAGATAAATGGCTAAACCATGGAAATTAGGGCACAACTCAAATTTTAGAAGAAACTGAGACATGCTTAAAGAAATTCTACCAGAAGTTTAAAAATTAATTAAAATAAGAAATCTATAACTTGCTCTTCAGCATCAAAATTATATTTCTTTTGCTCCTGATATAGCCATCATGTGCCACAATGCTATGTATATACATTACCGGAACACCAGAGGGCATGAGCTGTGGCCCCTGCCCTTGTTCAGGCAGGATAACAGAGCCACGATTCAAGACCTGAGGCCAATGCATCCTCAGCACACCCTCCTACTAGGAGATCGGCTACATACCAGGAGGGACAAGGAGCTGATGGACTGTCCTTCCATTCCCCCAATCCTGGCAGTACCTCCTTTGTGGCAGGGGAAGGGATAACAGATAGAGTTGAACAACCATGAGCCCATGGGCGCCACAGTCCTTCAACACTGTGGGAAAGGACACAAGAACAATACAGTTTGGAGGAAAAATGCCAAGATGTGTAATGTGCAGTTTTCCGCTTCTACACAGGGGTTTTCCCGAGTATTGTGAGGCCCCCTTCTCAGCACTTAGCGCTCTCTTTGCTCTTTCTTCTTCTTGCTCATCTTGATGCCAAGCAGCCACCAAGGACTAAAAAGATGTCTATCTTCCTATTATGGAAGAGGGTGGTCACAAGATGTTCCCAGTTCTAAGGCAAAACTAAACTGACCGCAGCTTCCTGAGAGTCTGTCCTGCAAACATGCATTTTCTATGATTGAGGTTGGAGACAATTTCAGAAAGTAATAACATTCAGTGCTTAAACTCCCCAAATCTAACTTCATCTTCTTGCTAGGCTGAATTAACAGACTCAAAACATTACTTACCCCAGTGCTATCTCCAACCCAAGACAAAGATACTGAGCCACTGAGATCATCAAACACATGCTATAAGGGGGAAAAAAAATTTCATTTAGAAATGACATCTCTCCATTTTTGACTTCCTTAAATAATTCAGAATACTATTACTTTCAAAGTAATTAAGTTCATAATTCGAAGGGAATACGGACTCCCAGAACAAAATACGGGAGAGACAGGATTTAACTACTTAACCTAAATTACAAATAACTTGGAAATTTTAATTCTCTCTCATGCAAAGTAAGCCAAGCAGATGAGTTTTCTTCACCAGATGGGGAGATGGGATAATCTAATTGCTTTCTCCAACAGAACTAAATATAAAGATATAGAAAGTATTCTTAGGATGCTTTAAAACAAGAGATTACAGCCCACATTGACAGATATAATTGTAACCCAATCAGCATAATTTAAATTTTTCTAGGCAGCCTTTACAGTATAGCTGAATAGTTAATAGCTGGATTCCTTTTGCTTCTAGGCTAACTCAAAATGACAAGGGATAGAAAGAAGCAAGAGCAAATGCCCTTGTTTCACTTTTTTATTTAATAATAATAATAATAGAACAACCTTAATAGAGTTGTGGTGAAAGTGAGAAGACAAAAAAGGGAAAGCTCGTGTACTATATCCAAAATACGATAAATATGTTGAAATGTAGTTATAATAATCATTGTTGGTGATTTGGGTTTTGGTTTTCAAATACTTTATAAAATAATATATACCCATTATAGAAAATGTAGATAATAATAGGGAGCTATAATAAAGAAAATACAAATCATTCATAATTCTATCACACAGAGATATTCAAGGCTAACGTGTGTATAATCTTCTAGTCTCAAATAATTCCAAAAAGGCAATACTGGCACTTGGTAAAAATTTCCAACCATACAGAAATGTATATAGTAAAAAGTGAAGATCCTTCCTCTTCCCCTGCCACATGCCCCACCACCCCAAGCCCCACTCCCCAGAGCGGTTAACAGCTTAGTATATATTTCTACTAAATGTTGATGATTATACTTTTCTCTTACGAAGACTTATACCTCATTACGGTTTTTTAATCTTAAACATGCTCTGCCTTTCCACATATGAGCAGTTCCTTAAAAGCAGAGGTTATACTTCTTGGTATTCCCTGTGCCTACCACGATACTTGCCCACTCAATAAGCATTTGTTGAAAATGATTATACATCCTTCCCAAACCACAAACTAAATCTCAAAACAGAACTTGTCTATATAAATGGTGGGCAGCCAGCCGCTTGGTCACTCAAGCCACCAAGCCCAAAAGCAAAGTCTGAAGAAACAGAACTGTTCAGCTTATCTTCTAATTTTCTTCTAGGGTCCTCCTGAATGGACCTCTGAACTCACCTATGCTATTTCCCCTCTGGACTGTAAGCACCTGTGAGGCCAGCAGAATCTCTTGTACAATCTATGTAAATAGTACAATCAGTGCCTCATAGAGGGCTTGCTCAGTAAACACTGGTTAACTCTCAAACGCTCAGGCACAGCTTCTTAAAGCTTCTGCAGGACAGAAAGGCTATTCATTTATGTAAGCCGGCCAAGCATCTAAGAAAAAGTAGGGCTGCTAGAGACATCCGGAACCAGAAGCTTAAAAAAGGACACAGCAGTGTGTCTTGTAAGATATTCCACACAGAGCAAGACGGTATGTTCTCTTGAGTGGGGATACAGTGTCTGAGATTACATCAATGAGCTCCTTGAGGAGAAGCAGGAATATAGAGAGCTGCCACAAGCACCAGACAGACCGTGTGGGCTTACAGTCATCTAAACATAGGTTATCTTTCCAAGGAAGGCTCTGGTCACAACAACTGACTAGGATAAAAGAAAATTTCCACCACTGGAGTTCTGGCTATCTTGATCAGGCCACAATATAGTTAGTCTTGAGTCAATCAGGACCAGCAACTTGAACTTTTCAAGCAATGCGCTACACACCTGACCCCATCAGTGCACACTGGCATTACTCAAATTTTCCTATTGCCCAGTCACAGGAGGAGGAGGATTATTAGATGTCACTAGCAACCCTCAGCCTTACCTAAACAACTCAAAGGATAGCTGACCTCATTCATCATCCAAAGAGTTCCTTTGGAAATGCAGGCCAGATTTATTAACTATAATTGTGGTCTTCTGCTACCCTTAACTCTCCCTCTCTTCCCTTCCTAATAACCAATCAAATTTTACTTTTAAAAATATACAAACTCGGGGCCGGCCCGGTGGCGCAAGCGGTTAAGTGCGCGCGCTCCGCTGCGGCGGCCCGGGGTTGGCTGGTTCGGATCCCGGGCGTGCACCAACACACTGCTTGGTAAGCCATGCTGTGGCAGCGTCCCATATAAAGTGGAGGAAGATGGGCACCGATGTTAGCCCAGGGCCGTCTTCCTCAGCAAAAAAAAAGAGGAGGATTGGCGGATGTTAGCTCAGGGCTGATCTCCTCACAAAAAAAAAAAAAAAAAATATATATATATATATATATATATATACAAACTCATTGAAAAAACATCCATCTACAGCAAATGCAACTAATTTCTTATATTTCAGTCTTGAACATTCTTATAATGGTGTGAGTAAAAGAGAAAAATGAAATCAGATCTAACAACAGACCAAAGCTCAGGTGGAAAGGAAAGGTCATATGGAAAGGAGACAAATCCAGGAGAGTTGGGGGATCAAGAGCACAGATACAATCCTACCCCTTCAATGGGAGAAGGATTATGATGTCCAGGAAAGGGTGGACAACCTGGTCATGGTTAGGAGACAGAATTCACAAGTGTCAGCGAAAGGTCATTAATTCTAATCCTTAATCATCATCATATTTAACACAATGTACATGTCACTCTACACTGTGGTGGCATCTTAGGTATTTCAAAATATAAATTACTTTTAAGTATAGCAACAAGAACCTTGTCTGCCTCCCTCACTAGACCTAAAGCCCAGCTGTTACAGGGACTGAGCCTATTTACTTTAGCAACTAATATACAGCACAGCACATGGAAGGCACTCAATTAAGAACTATTTGTAAAGCTCTGAAAAGGAGGATGATGCAGTGAAAAGATAAGGCCACTTAATTTCCCCATGACAGAAATGAGGATGAAATGTAAAAATTCTATTCTAATAGGACTTTTGCTTCTGGCCAAGATGGAATAACTGGGATCAGATTTACTTTCCCACCTGAAACAATTAAAAAAACACAGAATATATAAAACAACAGCTTTCAAGACACTGGACTTCAGGCAATGAAGGATAATAATCCCTGAGACACAAGAAACAAACAAGGACCTACATTTGCCCTAGCTTATTGTCTGGAGAGAATTTCCAAGCCACAGTGCAGGGAAGGGGAACCCAGGCAGGGCCCTGAGGTCTCCCTCAGTTGAAGAGATGGGTGGTAGTCTGGGGATGCCCAAGAGGCTGGAGTTCACAGGATAGAGTACTAGAGAAGAGAGAGCTGTACAGAAAGAGAACTCTGGAGATCTCTAGATGGGGGCTGCCCAACCACCCTGCCAAGTCTTCAGCTGAGTACTAATCAGCTCATGCATGTGAGGAAACTACCTGAGGGCAGGGTAGGATCCACCTGAGAGGACAAAGAAGGAAACAACATCTGGGCCTCACACAGGACCAGAAATAACTCCTGTTCCCAACAAACATAGCAAAAACCTGCTTTTCAAAAGGAATTGGATAGGGTACTCAGAAATTTTTACCTCAGTAATGAAGAAAAATTAACCCTAGACTAAATGCTGTTTCGGTCTTGCCTAAAAATCTTAAAAGCAAGACCAAAAAGGATTAAACTAATGCCACGTAACCTAACTATGTCCCGGAACAAAGTTCAAGAATATCTATGGGAATGTAAAAATATTGAGCACTCAAGAAGATAAAATTCACAATGTTCAACAGTCAATCAAAAATAACCAGGCATGCAAAGAAGCAAGAAAACAGGACCCATAATGAGGAGCAGAATCAATCAAACCAGAAATAACACAGATAACAAAATTAATGGCCAAGAACATTAAAACAGTTATAATTATATTCCATATGTTCAAGAAGTTAGAGAACATGGGCTGGCCCGTGGCTTAGCGGTTAAGTGCGCGCGCTCCGCTGCTGGCGGCCTGGGTTCGGATCCCGGGCGCGCACCGATGCACTGCTTCGCCGGCCACGCTGAGGCCACATCCCACATACAGCAACTAGAAGGATGTGCAACTATGACATACAACTATCTACTGGGGCTCGGGGGGGAAAAATAAATAAATAAATAAATAATAAAAAAAAGAAGTTAGAGAACAGATTGAGCATGTTCAATAAAGACAGAAGATAAAAAAGACTCAAATCAGACTCCTAGAGATGGTAATTACAATGTCTGGGATAAAAATTACATTGGATAAGATTAACAGGAGATTAGACATTGCAGCAGAGAAGATTAATAAATTTGAAGACATACCAATAGAAACTATCCAAAGTGAAACATAGAAAAAAAGACAGAAAAAATGAACAGAGCATCACTGAGCCATAGAACTTCAAGTAACCTAATATATATGTAATAGGAGTCTCTGGAAAATGTGGGGGTGGGGGATGGGGATAGAAAATTGGAAAAAATAATAGCCAAAAATTTCCCAAATTTAATGAAAAGTATAAACCCAGAGAGCCAAGAAGCTCACACACCCCAAGCTCAAGAAACATAATGAAAACTACACCAAGGCACATCATATTCAAATTGTTTAAAACCAGTGATAGATAAAAATCTCAAAAGCATCCAGAAGAAAAAATGACATTATATACAGAGGAACAAAGAATCACAGTAGACTTCTCAGAAACAATGCAAGCCAGTGGATCAACATCTTTAAAGAACTGGGAAAAAACTGTAAAGATAGAATTTTATACCCAGTGAAAATGTCTTTTAAAAATGCAGGTTTTAAAAAAGAAAAGTTCTGAACTTGTCCATTGCTCCTCAGCACTGTATGGTGAGTGTTTCTTTTTGACAACCATGGGAGAGGGACTACACCAGCGCAAAAGACCTGAAAGACAGCTGAAATCCCATCTTTCC